AGTCGCTATCGGCTCTCCTCAAAATAGTTACAGGTAGTCAAATGACGTCATCATCTAATTTGCATAATATAGGATTTAGCATAATCGCTATTTACATGTGATCGTTATGGACGCTGTAAGGAAAGAGCGAGAGAGGAATAATGTCGTGGGACCATAGACCGTATAAAAGATGAAGTGAGTAAGACACATCCTAAATATAATTACAACTACAAATGAACTGTCATCGTGTTTCTTGGTTCGTTTTCTAAATGTTGCCACTGAAATAGGCCATCACTTCTCCCAATAACTTCACGACTGATGCTTTGTGTAGACCCACATTAAATAAATCAGTGTTGTCCTGTATTGTTCAATGTTGAAATATCAAATGTAATCAAACGACTGTAATGTGGGGTGAAACTGGCTGGAGCCTATCAAAGGCAAATATCATTCCTTAAAAAGCTCCCATTTTAAATCATCGTGTTCCAACAAAAAACAACAAAACAAAACAGTGCAATAAAACACATTTTCCCCCCAAGTTATTGCACAATCAAGTGTGCACATGGACAGTGCCTTTACTTTGGACAAGCAAGTAAAAATATTCAATTTACATTAACATATCAAATATTTGAAATAATAAACATCAATATACACTAATATAACATCAGGTGATTAATAGTGGGGAGCAAACACAAAAAACTGCATGAAACAATCAACAATGTTAAAAGGTGACACTAAAGCCACATTTATTATTAAACTGATTAGTAAAAAGGATTACTAAATGTGCATTTTGTTCATTATTCTTTACTAAAATTAAAAGGTCTACTTAACAGATGCTTAAAGCTGTGTCCTATATTCTACTGTAATGATTAAACATAAAATTGTAAATGCATTATTCATTTATTCAGTGTTAAATTCTTTATGTACATGTTTAGATTTTAAATTTCACATGAAAGGAATGCACAGAAAAACATAAATAGGGAATCCTCTATTGGATTTTCATGTAGATTTTTGTAGGGTCACCACTTTAGTTCTAAATTTGTCAGAATAATTTCCACACTTAAGAACACTACAGGTTCTATTGCCCAATATTTAAATTAATTTGGTAAATTTCCATAACAGTTAATGCTAGGGTCCTAGGATCTTTACCTTCATCTTTTTCCTGTTTTGTAATCCAGCCTCGGTGTTTCCAAACTTGAAAAGAAATGCGTTTGCTCAAAAAAAAAAACATGTGTCTCGGCTTTCGACTTGACCTCAGAGCCTTTTCTGCAAAGTAAACACGAAAGATGCTCCTTCTGTCAGGTACAATTTACAAAATGGAACAAAACAACAGTCAAGACTGTTAGCTGAAGGACGGGGAAAAAAGTAGTAAAACAAATCAGGACAATGACCATCTTTGGCAGCAATTTAATTTCCATAAGAATAAACAGTGTATTGCATTTCAGTACCACACATATATGTGCTTAAATCTGTAAATAATTACATTAAACCTTCTTTACTCACATAGAAAAACGCAATAACTTCATGTTATTTTTGTGATTGTCTAACATTTAATTTATTTAATAACATCAATTAACAAAGAGGCAAATTGTTCCATCGTTTTCAGATTTTTGGGACAAATTACAGCACTGAATATTCTTTTTTGAGCCTGCACCATAAATTCATATTTCATTTATTTCGTATAATTACTGGGAAATCAATACATTCAGTTCACAGATGTGCTGGTATGCGATGTTCTGAAAGGCCTCTAAAACAGTCATATGTTATTATAACTGCTAACTATTAGGCTCACTGACACGGTGTCCTGTGATTAATTGAAAGAGATTAGGTACTCTGCTTATACATTACATCTGCGGTCACTTTATAGTTACCAAAGAGCAAACTGACACCTAAACAGCATGTATTGATTCTTGTTCTTCCTGAGTCTGACTCAATTTACATTTTATTTGAACTACCCTGTAATTGCGCATAACATACTGTACATCGTCACAATGCGAGACAGTGCAAACAATTCCAGCCTGTGTGGATGTTTGGACATCAGAGATACAGAATATTTGGGAATGCACTGTGCAATATTTGGCACATGAATTTCCATCAGGATTCATAACGTTCTATGCTGTTTTCTCCTCAAGCAACCTGTACCTTTCCTTTTTAATTACCTGCCTGCCTATAAACTCTGCCTTTGCTTTGCCCCTTTGATGTGTTCACGCTTGCTAACTCTGGTCTGTTGTAAACTATTGACTTATTCAGTTATTTCATTGAACCATAAAATGTTTTTGTTGGTTTTCTTTACTGTATTCCAATGACTGTAGCTGCTTTGTTGTATTTTTTGTTTATACTTGTTCTAAAGTTGTTAATCCCTAATAATATATAGTATTGCTGTACTTTTGATGGACAGATTTTGTTCCACACATTTTTCTTCTTTGTCAAAATCTTACACTGATGTTACCCAGAATACAACCACCAGTTGGAGATTTGGGTGCATTAAACTAGTCGCAGCTAATGTAGCCTCAAGACTACCCTGAATCATGACTGAGGAGCAGGGCGGCAGAATTCTGATTATTATGCTTCTTTTTCATCCAGATTCCATTTCCCTTTCAATCTTATAGCAACCGACAACATATTTCAACAACTTTTCAGTGTCTTTAAGAAGACACCGAAAAGACAAGAATATGTGCTGAGTACATGTTTATCTTTTAAAGTTTTTTATCTGAGTGGCCACAAGGACTGACAGAGGAGTAATGAGTGATGAGTCTATCAGCTTCTCTCCACCCGGAGAGCAGCGCTCCATGGGCAGAGGAGTAGTAGCAGGGATGAGTCGCCTCTCCAGCAAACAGCACCTGCAGGGGCTGAAACATTCGATAAGAAATATGTGTTGCAGTCATATTTTGTGAGTTAGTGTATGTGTACTCTGGAGGCAAATGTAATGCAAATGAATGTATGTAAATAAAAATACTTTCGCTGAATACCTGCAACTTTTCTCCCTTCGTAGGCAGGGGCTCCATCATGTTCTCCAGGTCCTTTGCTGAACAGCCTATTGCTGGGTGACAGTAGGATCCGCATGTCCAGGGATCATTAAACCAGCGGGAGCACAGGACTCTCTTTGGTGTGATGGTTCTGTTCCCTAAACACACACAGTTACATTGACAGGGACCGTGCTTAAATAATTTAGACCCACTCATTTTAGAAAATGTAAAAATCTGCAAAAATAAATGATACTCAGTAAAATAACAGTTGATCTAATGATACACATATTGTTAAAAAAAACACCAACACTTGTTAATACAGTTGAAACCAGAAGTTTACATACACTGTATAAAAAGACACATAACCTTTTATTTTTTTCTCACTATCTGACATTTAATGTGATGAACCTTTACTGTTTTAGGTTAGTTAGGATTACCAAAATGATTTCTATTTGCTGAACGCCAGAATAATGAGAGAAATTTTTAATGACTTTCTTCAAAGTCAGAAGTTTACATACATTTCTTTAGTTTTTGGTAGCATTGCCTTTAAACTGTATGACTTCGGTCAAATGTTTTGGGATTCCTTCCACAAGCGTCTCACAATCGTTTGATGAATTCTGGCCCATTTCTCCTGACTGACAGTAAGTACAGTAAGAGTATTATGGCCCAAAGAAGGGACAAACATATTTAAAAAGGGACACAGGAAACAAAGGTTGGGTTTCTTGAACTTCCATTTTATTAGTGACTTAAATTATCAGGGTTAACCTTTTATCAAAGAGAAAAAGAAAAAAAAAAACCCCAAAACCCTTAACCACCCCGTGTCCCAAAACGACTCAAAATGGAAACTTGAGGTGGACCTGGCAGGTTGGCCAAACAAAACAAAAGGGTGGGGCGCCGGGCCAACCCTATACAGGGCCGTTGAAGCCGGTGCTGACACCCGAACTAAAGGAAAAACACAAACTAAGCCCAAGCTACACAGGCGAACAAAAACAGGATGGCTGATCTCACCAGGTCAAACGAGAAAAACTGGTACAAAAAGATACCAGGCACCATATCAGCTGGAGTCGGGAGCACGCACAGGTCCGAGGTGTGCCGCATCAAGGTGGAGCCTGTGAGGTGAGCGGGACTGGAGGCACGAGTGAGAGCAAGCCAACGCTCAGAAAGCCAGCCTGTTTATAGGCGCAGCAGTAACTCCACCAAATAAACCCAATAATTAAATATGCTCACCTGGCAGCCCTGTCCTAAAAAGCAGATGATATAAATTCCCTCCCGAATGCAACATACACAGTTTGGCCAGAAGGTGGCACCACAGGAAAGGCCAAACTGTGTTCTCAATCAAAAGCAGCTATCATGTGTACAGTGGCCAGCTCTTGAAGCTGATTTTTTTTTTTGTGCATACAAAGATTTCAAATCTTTAACCTCTTTTACAGGTTTAAATTTGACTTCTTCGTTACTC